TAAGTTAACAACACAAACTCATCAGGTGGATATTTTTATAAGGAAGAATCTCTCTAGTAGATCTTCTCAACTGAGGTTCCATAGGAAATTTAGGAAGAACTAATTCAGTTGGTTCATTGGTTTGAGTCTCAGACATATTATCTACATTCTCCAAATCTACATTCACATCTCCCCAATGATTAATAACACTGGTAGGAGGTTCAGGTTCAACATCAATGCACTCAGGAGCAACATGTCTTAACTTTTCTTTCTTGTCATTATCTTCAATAGTCTGATCTTCAAGAAAAACAACATCTCGGCTTCTAACAATATTCTTATTAACAGGATCCCAAAATCTGTAACCAAAATCATCACAACCATAACAAAAAAAAAATACATTGTTTAGACTTCCCGTCAAGCTTAGATCTTTCATCTCTAGGAACGTGGACAAATGCCTTGCAACCAAATACCCTCAAATGATTATAAGAAACATATTTCTCTTTCCGCACACTCTCAGGGACATCACTATTAAGAGAAATGGATGGACATAGGTTAATCAAGTCCATTGCAGTTTTTCATGCCTCACTCCAAAAGGCTTTAGGCATCTTTGCATGAGATGGCATGCACCTGATTTTATCATTAATTGTGCAATTCATTCTCTCTATAATTTCATTATGTTAAGGGGTCTTTGGCACTGTTTTCTCAAGCTTGATCTCATGCTCCTTGCAATAGTGTTCAAACAGACCTCTAAATTCATCACCATTATCTGCTCTAACACATTTCAATACCTTATTTGTTTCTCTTTCAACACTTGCATGGAAATGTTTGAACACATCAAGTACTTTGTCTTTGGATTTCAAAACAAAAGCCTAAACCTTTCTAGAATGGTCATCAAATAAAAGTAACAAAATAAGTGCAACCACTGATTGATTTAGCATCCATAGAGCAAACATCAGTGTGAACTAAATCCAAGATATGTAGTCTTCTACATTGGAGGATAACTGCAAAAAGAAACTTTATGTTGTTTTCCAATAAGACAATCAGAACAAGTTTCAAGAGATGTACCTTTAAAAGAAAGTAACCCTTGACTTGTAAGAGTATTAAGACCCTTCTCACTCAAGTGACCAAGTCCTTTATGTCATAATTCTGCAGAACAATCTTCAATTGCATTTACTTGAGATGTAGACAACTTTGCTAATGTCCAATATAGAGTATTTCATTTCTCTCCTTTTGCTACCACCAATGTTCCTTTAGTTCACTTCCATTTTTCATCACCAAAATAGTTATGATAACCATCTTCATCAAGTACCTGTATTGAGATCAAGCTAAGGTGTATATCAGGGATCTATCTGACATTCTTCAGATGTAACTTGCATCCAGTATTAGTCTTTATCCAAATATCTCCAATGCTAAAAACTTTGCTTACCCCTTGATTTTCCATTTTCACATGCCTAAAATCTCCAACAGTGTAGGATGTGAAATATTCATAATGAGGTATAACATGAAATGAGGCAGCAGAATCAACAACTCATTCATACATAGGTGAGATTAACATATTCATCATCATAAATAATAACAACTTCATCATCATATACAACTGTAGTAGTGTCTTTATCTCTATCTTCTCTTTTATTATTATTACTCTTGTCTCTATCTCTTGATACTTCTCTCTTGAGGAATCTGTAATCTTTAATCATATGTTCTGATTTATTGCAATAGAACATGTGATATTTTTCCTTTCTTTTGACTTTTTCCTTGATTTTTTACGGTCATAAAATCTATGAGAATTTTTATATTGATTTCTTCCCTTTGATTTCAAAACCAAAACTTAATTTTGAGTAAAGGAGTTAACTTAACAACTTCCTTTCCTCCTAGTTTCTTCATTTAAAAGACTATCATTGACCATATCAAAACTCAATTTTCCATTAGGAGCAGAATTACTCAAAGATACCACTAATTCACCATATTTTAAAAATTGTTTCACCATATTTTGAAAACTGCTCAGATGATCTATCACAGAGGAACAATCCTTGTATTTTAAATTTACAAGTTTCCTAATCAAGAATGCCTTATTTAAGGAATTTTTAGACTTAAATAACTCACTTAATTTCTTCCATAAGTTGTAAGTCATAATCTCACTAGACACATCATGATAAACAAATTGGTTTATCCATTATCTAATCATATCAATAGTTTTCCTATTTAACTTCTTCCAATCTCCTCCAGATTTATCATCTGGTTTAATACATTTTTCGTCAATAAGATCATATAAGTCTTTGCAAAATAATAAATCTTTTATTCGAGATTTCCATATTGAGTAATTGGAAGAATCCAACTTAATCATAGTTTCAGCATCATAACTATCTCCCATTTTCAGAGCACAAACTAGAACCCCTAAGCGGAGCTCTGATACTAGTTGTTGGGGAAGATACCAAAATTACAGCAAGTGAAAGCAAAACCCAAAAATTTCCTTTTCTTTTTATAAATGACACTAGTATGCTCCAAAAATATCAAGTAACAGATAAATGATAATGTGCACCAAAAATAAAATATCAAGAAATAAGAAGACAACAGATTTTAATGTGGGAAAACCCTCAATGTGAAGGAAAAATCTACATGACCTAGTCCAGCAAAAACTTTCACTAATAATAATTAATGGGTATAACACAAGTTCTCTTGGAGTCACCAAGGATCAATAAAACACTTTCTCTTCACCAATAACGTGGATAGCAAATAACCCTAATAGGTATCTAAGACAATAGAGAACCAAATACAGAGTAATGAGAACAATAGAACATCTTCTTTGAGCTAACTTCTCTGCACGGAGTTACTTTGAATAATACATTCTTCTTCTATTTGCACCGAGCTAACTTTTATGTACGGAGTTACTCTGAATAACATATTCTTCTTCTATTTATGTGGTGGCTTCTTTTTTATCTCACCAAATACTCTCTTGTTTGTTCTCTATCTTTCTGTCTTATGTTCTCTTTATGTTCTAAAGGACTTAGATACAAATAAAAATAATCCTATAATGGGTCAGTAATTTATAAAGAAACATATTCATATTCTTTTTTAACCTAGTCAGTATGAACCCAATAAATTAGTGACCTAACTAACATTACGAAAGAAAGGAGTTTTGTCTTGGTCATTAGTCATTGTACTCATAATGTTGCTCACAAAATTAACATGCTTCGGGGAACTTTCTTTTGGTTAATTTTTGTTGTTTCTCATACACAACTTTGGTTGATTAGCAAGTCATGTTGCTTGAAGTAATTCCAATGAGGTATTGGTAGCAACCTTGTATCCATAGAATAAACTAAAATTTCTTGAAAATTAGAAAGGAATTTAAAATTGGTGAATAACTATCAAAGAACATGTTTATGCTCCAAAATAATATATCCTAGAAAGTCTCATATTATAAATAATAGAGTGGATAATAATAATTATATAATAGATTTGGTAGACAAAATATTTTAAATTTGTATTTGATTTTTTTTAATAAAAATAATATGAAGTTTAGTTTAAATTTTTGTTTTAAAAATGTGAATGTATTTAGAATAAAAAAAATGAGATAATTTTTTATTAATTGTATAATTTTTTAGAGATAATAATGTTGTTTATGATTATATATATATATATATATATATATATATATATATATATATATATTATTAGAACTGTTTCTGTCATGGATTTAGTTATTGTGGGGCAAAAAGAGTGACACAATGCTTGCCTCAACTAAATGTAGCCGCTACAGAAGAATAAATGAGATCAACTAAATGTAGCAGCTACAGAAGAATCAATGAGATCATACCATCCCGTTGAACGTGTGAGGATATGAGGCACCCTTAGTATCAAATTTTTGTCTAGACAATCCTAGTTTTCTGAATTTTCAGTCTGATAGAATTGAATTAAGAGTGCTGTGATGTGTTTGAAATCTTAATTTCTCTATTTTGTTATACTAAGTAAGTGTGATGAATTTCGTAAATGTTTTACAGGATACAAACTATTCGCAGTATCATTTTCGTATAGTCACTGTGCATCACAGCAAACATTAAAACCATATATATACCTGTTAACATGCTTCATGTTTATTTGTGTGTTAACATTCTTAAAACCATGAGTTGGAAGGAAAACCAAGTTCCAAATACAAAATTCAAATCAAATTCAAAAGAAAGATTTGTACAAGATGACCAAATATTTCTTTAAAGAAACATCTCTTCAATCAATCAAGTTAGATCAATATTTTCAATCTTGACGGTCTTCTTCATCACCATCTTAACTCTACAGCATGTAGATATTCTTCAATTTCTTCTATCCAAGTCATTTTAGCTGTATAATTCCTTGAATATGAAAGAGTTTTTTATTAATATAATAATGATTAAAAGATTTAATTAAAATAAAAATAATTTAAAATCATTATTTTAATATAAAAATGAATTGTAAATAGTATGTTTGCTAAAACAGTGAAGTATTTTTTCCCTATTCCAAATGAATAAGTTCAATTTAAGATTTTATTAGATAAAATAAAAATTAAAACACATTTAAAATTATAAATTGGATCAAAGTAAATAACTTTTTTAAAATTTAGAAACCAAAATTATAAAATAAAAAAAAAACGAATTGAAGGATGAAGAATTAAAAATATATACAATTTTTTTATATTCTTAAATCACTTTTTTTTTTTATCCAAAGGAAGAATATCATTTTTCTAGTTGCATCTTCATCATATTCACTTTCTGGAAATTATAATAGAATAATCGCCTAAATAAAAAGTGTGATTTTCCCGATGCATTTTGTGGTGGCTCAACTAGAACGAACAGCTCCTAATTCACATATTACCAGGCAAAAACATCAAATAGCTGGGGAGTTGAACTACCCATGGGGGACCCTTGCACCAACACTTTATTATTTCATCATAAAATACCATTTCAACTCTAACAAGAAGCATTACCTCATTTACTATTTAACATTCATCTCTTCCATTCTTTGATTTACACTCTTCTCGTTCACATCTCTCTATGGCGGGTTTCTTCTCCCTTCTCACACGCCTCTACCTCACCGCCTACAACTTTACCCTCTTCGTTGGATGGTAATCTCTCTCAATTCCACTTTTCAACCAACATATTTCAGCAATTTCTCTTTTTAAACCGTCAACCTCCTTGTTTCTGTATGTAAGTGCTCAAGTTTGTCGATTTGCACAGGTTTCAGGTTCTATTTATTGTTCTGAAGACGCTGAAGGAATCGGGCCATGAAAACATATACAATGCAGCTGAAAAACCTTTGTTTTTTTCCCAAACTGCGGCTGTGCTCGAGGTATTTTGGTAAAAAAGAAGTGATTTTTGTTAACTGTGGAGACACCCTTTTGTTGTTTGATTGGAGAATGTTCAAGATTTCTTGTGGCAATTAACTTAAGTTTTAATTTTTGTTTCATGTGGGTTTTGGTGCGGTGTACTAGATTCTTCATGGTTTGGTAGGTGAGTAAGTCTTCGCTCATTGTCATTACTTAGGGTTGATAAAAAAAGGGAATTAAGTATAGATAAGTTTTGTATTAATTTCCTTGTTTCATTGTTATGAATTTCAAGAATCAAATAGTGACAATTGAGTATTACTATTCTTAATTTTCTTAAAAATTGCAAAATATTCTTAAAAGTCTATTTAGTGCATAAGCAAAGAAAACATTTATACATACTTCAGATCTCGATGGCAAAAATAGAAAGATATTGATCTTTGTTCACAGATCAATTGATGTTATCATCTGTTCTTTTATGGACTTATTCCCCTTTGTTGTTTCCCTTTGACAAAGGCCTGGTGCGGTCTCCACTAACAGCAACCTTGCCACAGATAGGTTCCAGGTTGTTCCTGGCGTGGGGTATATTATGGAGTTTCCCCGAGGTCAAGACTAACTTGAACTTTTTTCATTTTTATTTTGTTTCATTTAATAAATTAGTTCAACTTTTAACGATATTCTTCTATTTAAAATTTACCTATATCTGTGAATGAAGACTCGGACTCATGTGCTCGTTACCTCCCTATTAATCAGCTGGTCCATCACTGAGGCAAGTTTTTTCATTGTTTCTTTCATGTTGTTGTGTATTTGATCATGTATGTTTCCATTTGCATTGGTCTATTTATGTATTTTAAATTCAACCATCATACTGAAAAATGAAACTGCAAAAACTAAAGTTATTAATTTGCATTAAAGGTGAGTATAGTATGGTTTTCACATAATATACAAGATATTCGGGGGATAAATGTAATTGTGAGAGTTGGCTATTTTAGTCAAGAAACTTATAGAGTGTCTGTAGGATGCAGTGGAAAGGCATTTAATCTTTGAAGTCACAAATCCAGCAGAAATTCTGCCACCTCCAAAAGAGCGTCAGTTACAGCTATTGGTCCAGGCAGTTTTTTAAATGATCTCCTAGTTTGGTGAGTCTAGGCTTTGTCTAACAGTGCAAATATTCTAAATGACTTAAACTTCTTGTTTTGAACTGATTCCCAACAATAATCTCTGGGGATTCAAATAAAACAATTTCTAAGCATCTGGTTCTTGTGACAAACATAGAGGTAATCTGGTAGAACCCAACTAGCTCCGCCAAAACTGCTGATGTTTTGAGAGACCAGAGATCTCCAATATCTTAATTGCCAAAAACCTCATTGTTTTTTCTTAGTGTAAGTCACCCTGTTTTATAGAAGAGACAGTGCAAAACAAGGAAACAATACTTACCAAATCTTGACAGAAACAAATCCTATCAAGTATAGTTGTCAATCCTAAAATGTGACAGCAGCCAACCCTGTAAATGTTGTAGCATGACGCGATAGCAGGACGTCTGCCATTCTAACCAAATAAAATAAATGTTAAAGGGAAAAACGTAGCAGAGAGCACAAGACAGTAAAATAAAAAACCTGCTTTAGAGATTAAAAGCAGAACAATGCAGCGATAGAAAGCAAAGGTCCTGGTTGACTGGAATAATGACAGGTTTGGCAGAGAATGGCTAGAGGACTCAAAGATGATTAGAAACAGTGGAGAGCAGGGGCTGCTGAGTGCATAGATTAGGGACAACTGAAACTGTCACAGCTATCTATAAAATGTTGGGAAATGCTAGCAATGTTGCTCAAGAAGGGTGGGTGTTTGTTGGAACGGAGAAGAGCTGGTTCTACTTCATAGTGTACACAAGTCATTGAGAAAGTAGTGTTTCAGTTCTTATTTAAAGGAGGGGACCAAATCCCAAATTGACCCCCTAAAATAACAATGTTTCTTATTTAAAATAGTTTTTTGCAATTCACTCCCATAGTTCCCACTCCAGCTGTTTTTTATTGTCTGCTATCCCTGCTGCGGTAACCACTACATCAAACTGTGACACAGTCCTTACTACCTGGCCCTTCACTCTTCTCTTTTTTGAGTCCTTGGTACCTGAAGTTCCTTACCGTTGCAGTGATGCCTAGATGGAACTTCTCATCATACATAAGTAAAGTCATTTCACTCTCCTTTCTTGAATTTCTCGAAAGTTCATCATCCTTTGTATGGAAACAGTCTTGACCTTGGGAATGTCTTTTGATACTGTTGTCCCCACTTTTCATTCCAAACTCTGTTTGTCATGTTTGCTGATGCTGAGGGAAGGCTGAGTTTACCCAGTTCTCTCAATTGAATTTCAATCTTCAGTTTCCTATATGCTCTGCATAATCTAAGTTAACCCAGTTGTGCAAAAGTGCTCAAATTTTCTATGTATCTACACCTTTAATCTATTAAAAAATGCACTTTGGAGTATTTCTCAGGGGATTCAACAAATTTGTTGAGTCAGCGCCTTAAACTGTCTCAGAGTAACTCTGTCATGGTTCCCCTTAGGGGAAATCATGTATTATAAGGGGATCTAGTTTGCCTATTATGAAATTGGTTGTGTTCAATTCCTCCCACTAATTTATGGCTTGGTGTGATGCCTCTCCTTGGTTCTAGGGGTGATTTGGAAAACTCATCCTACTTTACCCACAATCTTTGCTTTGGATCAGTCTGGGTTACAGGTTAAAAAGGTGATTTTTTTATTTTTTTTTCAAATGAATAAGGTTGGGTCGAGATCTCTCTAATTTATTTTGCTGTCACCCAAACCCTTACTATTAGCAAGAAACTGCATGTTTTAATCACAACATGATAACATGTTTAGCTTTGAGTAAATCACAGTAATTCCCCATATGGTTTTTCAGCATTGCACTCCTCCCGTGTTTCTTTAATGTTTACAACAGCCTCCTTTTAGGGTTACACAGTATAATGTTTTTAAATTAGGAGGTTGGTTTAATCTATAAGGGGTGTCACTGTAATATTTTCCAAACAATTAAAGGGTTTAGTGTAGTGATGAAAAAAGGAGTATCTGAGGTAAATCAACAAAATTCAGGGGTTTTTGTGTAATTTGTTCATGGGCTTTTAAGATCATTTCACTTTAAAGTTCAGATTAACTCCTTATTATAGTCATGTGATATCTCACTAGTCTTAAACCTATTTCATTGGAGCCCAATATTTTGACATAAGTTGGACGCAGAACCCCTTGTAAACACTAATTAAGTTCAGATTGCAATTTGAAGGCACGATTTGGGTGACTACAAAAGAAGCCTTTTAGACTTGGATCCCTCCCTTCCCTTTCAATTCTTCTCTTGCACATGGTAAACATATCTCTTTGTAACCATGGCAAAATAATTGATTGAACATGGAAGAGAACTATTAACAAAAATCAATATTGTTGATCCTCTTTACTGTGCTGTGATAATTGCAGATTATTCGCTATTTTTTCTTTGGCTTGAAAGAGACATTTGGATCTGCCCCATCATGGCTTTTGTGGCTCAGGTATGCATTGAATCTGGTATTCTGCATTGAAACTGGTATTCTGCTGTATTTAATATGGTAATCATTCTTATATTCCTGACTTCCTGTTATATTGACTGCGACTTTTGTTCTGACAGGTATAGCACCTTTTTAGTGCTATATCCAACAGGCATCAGCAGCGAAGTTGGTCTGATATATATTGCCTTGCCATTCATTAAGGTAAAGATTTAGAATAGCTAAATGTCCACAATGCTTTCAGAATCCTTTAGTGACCCGCTGGATTGGGTTTGTTTGTTCACCGTGGATGTATATTTTCTCTTTTGCCCTTATATTTACTGGGAGGAACTTATGAAGTCTGGTTTAGTTAAGAAGGAAAAAAAAGTCTTCTTTATCGGGAAAGCATTCTGCATTACCCTCAAGTTTCATCTTTGCTGATCTTTTGAAACATCAACCTTGATACTTTGGGATTCCCAAAGTGCTAATAGAGAAATGGGAAGAGACTTGATAGTCTGTCACTCATGGATATGGTTGACTGAAATTATTTGATAAGGTGCTTTTTCTTTACACAAGTTAACGAGCTTAGTAATTTTCAGGCATCAGAAAAGTACTGCATAAGGATGCCTAACAAATGGAACTTCTCATTCGATTACTTTTGGGCTGCTATTGTTGTATTGGGAATCTATGTTCCAGGCATGAGCTCAACATCTTTCTTACCACGAATTTGTGCTTTGACTAATATTCTTTTTGTTAACCTTGTTATTCATTGGATGGCATCATAATTGTATGCAGGTAGCCCTCATATGTATGGTTACATGCTTGCACAGAGGAAGAAAGCTCTATCAAAATCAAAGAAAGAGTAGAGTAGCATCTGTAGTTTTCACTTTTGTTGATTTTATCCTTACTTGGATTCACGTGTAATCCTATAAATTCTTGGTTATGTATCCTTAAACTCAACACTGGAGAGAAATAAATTAAATCATTTTATTCTTTGGTGCAAATTCCTCTGGCTCAAACTGGTGTTTCTAATTTCTAAACCAGCCCTGCCTATATTATGATGGTGTAGCTAAAAGTCAGATAACAATAAAAATTAAGATATTTAAGGAAAAGTACGAAGCAAAATAGTTAAAATTTATTAACATTTGAGAACAAAAAATATAATTTTTTTTATTACAAATAAGAGGTAAAATATGAGTAATGAATCAACATTCAGTGAGGATATTATATATATGATTGTTGTGCCGGACCATCCACTTCGTTTTTTAGTAAAAGCTTATCAGGAATTCCAATAGGGTGAAATGAAAAGCTAGTTGGTCAACATATTGCCTACGTGAGTTTATCATGTTATAAGTCTCAAGTACATGAACAAATCTAGAAAAGGTAAATAAAATATCTTAAACAAATTTATTTCAACAAATAGAAACATAAACGATAAAATATCTTAATATTCACATTTTATGTATAGTTAACTTTTTTATGATTTATTTTATTTTCTCTCATTTTTTTACAATGTATATATATTTTTAATTAATTACGTATCATATTCCTTTCTTTCATGTATTTACTATTTTTTAAATATATACATTATAATAATTTTTTATTTAAGTTAAGATATTTTTATTTTTTCTCTCTCCAATGACAAAAAAATTGATTATAAAAGAATATCTTCATTATATATAATTATTATAGTTATAAATATTGTAGTAGTATTACTTTGTAACAACAAAACATCCTTCCTATTTGTATTCTAGTTAAAAGTAAATTCTTCTTTTACTATATCAGGAAATATTATTGTGTAAAGATATTTTAAAAGATATATAATTATAAACCTTCAATGAAATTCGATATTTTTAAATAGATTGCACTAACTTCAAAATTTAATTGTAGATTGGACGAACTTCAAAATTTAATTGTCTCAATAATTTTCGATAATTATCATCTGGTTCTTTGGTCCATGTACATACGGCGGATTATATTGAAATTTGGTCTCATATTTTTGTTGTGATTAAAATTTGGAGGGTTGAATTGTTTCAATCAGTTTTTTTTTCATTATCCCTTTTTTTCTCTTAACTTTTAATTCACATTTTAGCATAAAATAAGAATGGGGAAACAAATATTTTATGATAAATGAGAAAAAATATTATATTTCTTCTCCTATGTATAAAAAAAATTAAATGAAAAGAATGAAAATAGTAACCATCCAAACCAGAAATCTAGTGGTCATTACATTTCCGTAACTTATTTTACTAGAGTCAAAAGAATTATTTATCAAATTAATAGAACAAGGGAACCACCAAAATTATTCAAGCTTTAATCAAATCAAATAACTACAGAAACACCAAAAAATTTTAAGCTCCTCCATTTCATGTTCCTATCTTCAATGGTAAGGTTTGGAGACTATTCACATCACCTAATATAAGAAAATGCAGGTAGCTTAATACGGCATAACCAAACTCTCAGCATAATGAGAAGATATAAACGTAGAGTATAAATCGAATTCGCTTTTGAAACTTTCAATACAATCTACTCTGTCATCTTCTTGACCAAGCAGAACAAAATGTGCACGTCCATGGTTTGTCAGCAACAGAACATCGCCATTTTCAGTCTTGAACAAAGGTAAACAAAAAAAAATTGGAAAACATGGAGCTTGAAGATGTGCATATTTTACTTTCAGCATCTGAGTCCAAGAATTTTGGGGTTCGGACGTTCTCATTTCCCAAACAACTAGATAGGTTCCGTCGTGATCATGAGAAAGACAAAGACAACCACTCAACACACCAAGATAACACTTATCATGAGATACTTCAGAAAGACCATTAGGTAACGACATATACCTGTATACCTCATCCTTCAGATCATATGAAAAAATCACTGATTGATTTCCATTGTTTGTAATGGTTTCTATTAGAGGATCAGAACTCACAGAGGTTCGAAGTGCTAACCAGTTAAGAGTGCCGCTTACAAATACTCCATTTTCATCTTGCAAAATGGGCAAAGCAGAAGAGCAGGTTAAAACCCTTCTCCAACAAGAGTCACCCATGCAGTAAACCTTCACCTCCCAACTCTTTGATTCAACATGGAAAATGATGGTCACCACCTTGTAAGTTCTATTTGAATTATCGTACCCAAACCCTTTCTTCACATCATAATCTTCACTATCATTGCAAGAATTGACATGTAGGAATGGGGAAATATTAGACTTAATCTTAGTGGCCGGGTTCCAAAATAGAACAAAGTAAAGGTCATATTGACCTATGTTTAAATGATAACGCATACATATCAACCCATTGCATACACCCAACATATGTTGAGATGAATCGTATAATGGCAAATTCCCTGAACAAGATCGCAACTCATCAAGGACCAAAGATGGGTTTTCCAGTATAGACCGTATAGTGCATCGTGTAATGCGGACACCGGTGTCTTCAGGGAATTCACTCGAATTAATGCAAAACATGATTAGGATTTCGGGGTTCTTGGAGGATCTTTGAAAGTGTGAATTAACAAATGAAGGATGGAAGATGAGGGAATTCCATGTCCTACAAACGCACCGTAATCGCAGGAGAGCCTTCACCGAAAGCGAGGAGAGAATTTCCATTTGGAGATCATCATGCAATCCAGCAAAAGCAGACATCTCCATCTTGGTTGGATAGCAAATTTCCAAACCCTAACCCTAGCTGAACGCAATACTATAACTGACGAGGAAACCGTTGGGTTGCAAAACGGCAAATGGTGTTACTATAAATAGGGGTGCCCGGTCAGTCCTGTTGACTTCTACTATAAGCCCGCCAAAATGGATTGAACCAACTCAACATCTCTACAGCACTCATTAGTTTTTCTCTTTCAGACAAGTTTTATATTATTCTTAGATTGATTTTGTCTACGTCTCTGTCAACCAGAAATCTACTCCCCAAACATAGTTTAGAGGAGAATTGGTATAAAGAATTAGGACTCTATTCATTCTCGTTCATCCTCCCACCATGTTTTAGAAGATCAAGGGAACTTGAGTTTCTCACTTTTTACTGTCAAATTTGAAAGAAAATCAAATTTAGAATGTTATTGATAGTGGAGTTTGAAGATTAAAACTATGTATGGTAAAAATTATAAAGAATTATTAAAAAATTAGAATTTATAATCTATAAATATTTTATTTAAAATTTGGAAATATTATAAAGGATGATCTTTAAATAAAGTTACCTACAAAAACTATTTATCAATAAATTTATTATTTTATTGTGAATTTTAAACATATTTATTGTTAAAAAATTTATTTGTGTAATAATTTAATATAATTTAAATTATTCCTATGTTGATTCATATTAAAATAATATTTGTATTCAGAAATAGTTTTAGTAAACAATAATCTTATATTTATAAAAAAATTATAATTAATAATAAATTATAAATTTATATTTTTAATTATTGTTAAATTTAATTAGATCAATTGAATTTTTAAACTCTAATCTTATATTTTTAAAAATTCGGTCTGCTTTTTAAAATATTAGTTAAAATTTAGATTAGGAAACAATTTAATAAAATATTTTTTACCAATTGTTATTAAAAATGAAACGGAAAATAATAAGTTGAAATATTTTTTAAATTAATTTCTATTAAATATTAATACCATAATTATTTCACAACAAATATTGTTATATTGTAATGTTTTTGAACAAAATAAAAGTTAAGTGTTTGTTTTTAGGATTGTATCCTTTTTCCTTCTCGTGCTCTTCATCGTGGAGGAGAAACGCCGCGTCGCTACTCCTTCCTTGCAGATTCCCTGTGAGTTGGAAAGAACATCGATGCCAAACCTCGAGCGGTGTGGAAATGCTGGAGACAAAACTCAGCGTGGCGCTTCTGAGATGTTCCTTCCTAACGTTTTGTTCGTCATCCAATGAATTTTCTATTTGTTCTCTCGTAATTGTTCAGCTCCTTGTTTTCGATCTCGATTACACTCTCTGGCCTTTCTACTGGTTTATTTCTACTTCTGCCCTCTTTTCTTTAACCTAATTTTATTTATAATCTCTAATTTATTAAACCTGTTCGAATTTCAGTGAGTGTTGATCGAAGCATGAAAAGCCATCGATGTTGCAATAATTTTCCTCAACAGGTTAGGCCTCAACTTAATCTTCGTCACACAGGTGAATTATTGTACTTATCTTGCGTTTAATTCCAATTTAACGTAGCATGCTTTTGGTTTTTTTCCTAATTTTGATTCTCTTGTGTTTGTGCAAGAAATATATTCCAATTAGACAAGTAAAACAGATCATTTTCAGAGGATTCATTCGAGGATCGGTGTTCCCTTCAACTCCATGCTCTTTTTCCGATGACGAGAACATCCAATCGATAATAATATATACTCTTACTCTCCCATTTTTTCTTCTAAATTCATTGAATCATCATATAATATTTCCATAAGCTAGTTTGAGAACATTTTTCCCTGAAACAAGACAAGGCTGGGTTGATGGGTCCTTGTATGCATGTTGTGTGTCATGTGTGGATCAGATACATGGGAAAAGCATAATTTAAGTTTTGTAAATGTTTTTTTTTTTTTAATTTATTAACATTGCAAGCTTGTTTTGAGTTATAATTTTTTTTAATTATGTTGCAGGGGCCAAATAAAAGTTTCTAACGTGATTTATGTGTTATTTGTGTTTTGTTACACGATGAAGTTCCAGCCTAATATTTGGAAAACATCTGTAGATATTGGATATCAAAAGAAGCGATTAAGCAGCACCTTGCAGCTTACCATGCCACATACATTCAGCTGAGGTGGTTAGTCATGGGTATGCTATCCTATATTATATCTAGTCATGGGTATTTACTAAATTTGGTGATTAAATTAATGATAATTAAATGCAGAGTTTTATAGAAGTTATATATGGTGCAATTAATAAATTGTTGTAATGAGGAGTCAAATTATTCTTCTAAAAGAAAAAGCCAAAATCCAAATCATTATTTTCCAATTGCTATAAAAAAATTTATGTAGAACTAGAAAATATACTTTTTTATACGTAGGTTTCTTAACTCGGAGGAGATATGTAATTGCATTGTATATATAAAGTTATCTTATTTTACTTTTTATATATTATCTCTAACTTTTAATAATTTTTATTATTTTGTAGCCCAAGACCTAGTTGGTAAACAAGAAAAGCACTTTTAAGTACGCCTTAAGAAGATGCTATTTAATTGTGTGACCCGATATTACTCCGGAGGAGTGATTTGTTTCTTGTTTTATGGGATGTTATTGTTTGGTATTAATTTCGTCCTATTTCAAATTAATCAGTTAAATAAAAAAATTATTTCAATATTTTTACTTATAATTTTTGTCTTTTGATAATAACAATTTAAGACTGGTTTGATATTCATTTCTTAGTATCCAAGCAATATGTATATATATATTCTAAATATTCAGAATTTTGTCTATTAGTAATATTCAGAACTTAATTTCAAATATATTAGTACTTGAACCCATTTTATATATTCATACTTTATTTTGTTACAATTTCATAAAAGTTAAGAATCTTCATGCATAGCTTACATTAATTATATTTTTTTATATTAAAAAGCAATACAGCTTTAAAACAAGAAGGATTTTCTTTTTCAATTTTTATCCTTAAATTAATAAATGAAATTAAATATTTAAATTATATTCTTCATAATAAATTAAGATAAGTTTACTCAAGCTTATGTTAAAAATATATGTTATCAATTTATATATTATTTTAAAAATAAGTCATTATAATTTTAAACTAATGTTTATTTTATTAATAATCATAAAATATATAAAAATGTATAGAATTTAAAAATTCGTAGGGAAAATTTTATGGGAATTTAAAAATTTATAGAAAAAACGTTCTGCCAATTTTTTAGTAAATTTAGATTTAGTAACAAATTTTCTGCAAATTAGAGATTTTGTAGAAAAGTTTTCCGCGAATTTGATATTTCGTAAAAGAGTTTTGAGTAAATGTAATTCGCAGATAATACATATGTTAAAAAAAAAAAAAACTGAATTTTTAAAATAGAGGCTTTTCTGCGGATTTTATTCAGGGGAAATTTTGAAAAAAAAAATTACAAATTTTAGTTTCCCGATTAACTAATTATCCATTAGCAAATGACCTTTGAATCAAAATTTTTGGAACGTTCGTTTCTTGCTAATTTAATCATAAAATTTACAAGAAAAATCCTATTAAATCTGGAAAGAGGTCCTAAAAAGTATATATATATATATAAGTGTAGAAATCATCTTCAAAGGAGGTTTCCTCTCTCTATCTTTTATCTTTTTTCAAATCTTCATATATTTTATCATTATTAATATTTATAGATTGTTTAAGTGTTTCACTAACCTTTAGAGGAAAAATATATTCAAAGAATTCAACATTTTTTGTCTCCACTATAGTATTATGCTCAATTACATCACTTTTTAAGGACAAAACACCTATAAGCAGCACTATGTTTTGCATAGCCTACAAAAGTTTTAATCCTCATATACTTTATCACTATTAATATTTATAGATTGTTTAAGTTTTTTACCAACCTTTAAAAAAAAAAATGTTCAAAGAATTCAACATTTTTTGTCTCCCTATAGTATTATGCTCAATTACATCACTTTTAAGGACAAAACATCTATAGACAGCACTATGTTTTGCATAGCCTACAACCATACCAGAAGTTTTAGAACTTATTTTATTTTTCTTAGGATTAGATAACATTACCTTAGCTAGGTATCCCACATTCTTATATATTTAAGATTAGGTTCATAACATCTCCATAGTTTTCCCAGTTTTCTTGCAAAACACACTGTAAGTATATATTCTCTCATATATTATTTGGTGCACTAGAGTTGTTTGATTAAATATACTTTGGTGTATGTAGAGTAATCATCTATAAATATTACAGATCATATGAATCAATAATATAAACAGAAGCAGAAGAACAAGATTCATTAACAACCTCAGAGATGTTAAATACAAAAAGACTCTGGTCACAATATCTCTTCTCTACAAATACATTTTTTTACTTTTTATTTATTTATTTCATAACAATCTTTTCAGGTTCGAATGACATTTTAATCCCAACTTTTCCCAACCGTGCTACAGAGATTATATTAGTTCTAATTAACGACACATGTAGCATGTCACTCAAGGCCAAAGTCTTTTCATATGTGAGTTTTAGAAGACATTTTTCCTAAGACAGGAACATATAATATTCATGCATAATTCATTTTCCCTGTTCTATTGGTGTAATAAATCCGAAAAAGGAACCTATGTTAGATACGTGTGCTCTGTGGACAAGTTGCATGATGTATGCTGATAGCACTTGATATAAAAGTTTACATTTTTTTCATCATAATTATAACATGCACTAATTAATTTCATATATGATTCACCTTCAACCCAATTACGTAATTTGTTCTTTCAATTAAAATCAATTACGGGATCATTCACATTTCAACAAGAATTACAGGGTCATTCAAACACAAGGGCTATAAAATTGATTGTAGCTTAAAACATAGATTAGGATTTATTCCTTTATTCAATTTTGAGAAAACAAATTTGGAAATTAAGTAAGGTTTATTCTAATCTGACAGAGAAATCCCTAAATTCATAATTAGACTTTATCTTAATTTGAAAAAACTATCATAATAGGAAAATCATAGATATAAAAAGTATGGCTTTGATACCACATGTAAGTTAGTTTGCAGTTTTTCTAATTTGCAAATTCTCACATAATAACATATATGAATCATACTAATAAGACTAACTTTCACCTTTCCTTATCCAAGGCTATTGAGTTGTTGTTGATATCCTTATTGTCTTTCATAAGTCCTTAAGATTGCTGTATAAAAACTGACAGAGACACAAACAAACTTTATTTTTAGGTGTATATAAACACTGTCCTTAAGGACTTATTTGCGGTGTATTACGCAAGTCCCCAAGATACAATAGGATCCGAGGATCTCAGAAACTAGCAAGAAACTCTCAAAAGATTAAATTAATCCAGGCTAACAAAAAAAAGATTAGAGAAAAGAATATGAGAGAGATGTGTTTTTGAAGAATGTGAAGTGGTCTCTATTTATAGGAGAAAGTCTATAGTAGTTATGAGAAGACTTAGTAGTGGGTCTGTAACTTATTATCTGTAATGTTCTCTAATACAGTCTTCTGAAACGTGTGAGAACACGTTCTCTGAAACGGTCTATATAACTTGTGGGAACACGTTCTAAGTTTTGCAATACCCCTTCATTTAACACTTTCAACAATTTGAAAGCAAGAAATAAAATTTTTAAGTCATACAACTTGACAAGTAATTTCATAAGAAGCAACATATTATGCCTCCATAGTAGAAGTACCTGTAAGAGTTTGTTTAACATTCTTTCAAGAAATAGTTCCTCCTATCAACTTAAATATAAAGCCAGAAGTAGATTTTCGATGATCAGGGCAACCAACAAAATTAGAATCAGAATAACCAATGACTTGAAGTTGATAAAACTTCTTGTAGGTCAACATGTAATCCTTAGTTCCCTGCAAATATCTAAAGACTTTTTTAACGGATTTCCAATGGCCCAAACCCAGGTCGCTCAAGTATCTCCCTAAAGCATTAATAACAAAAGTAATATCGGGACGAGTACAAACTGAGCATACATTAAACTACCAACAGCGGAAGCATATGAAATTTTTTCCATTTCAACTCTATCATTATCATTTTTAGGACATTGAGATTTAGAGAGTTTATCACATTTTTGAATAGGTGTTACACATGAGGAGTAATAATGCATGTTAAACCATTTGAGGACTTTATCAATATATCCTCTTTGAGATAATCCAAGAATGTCACATGACCTGTTACGAAAAATTTGAATGTCCAGAACAACAGAGACATCTCCAAGGTCATTTATATCAAAATGGCTGTTTAACATAGACTTTGTCTCAGTAAAAAATTCAACACTGCTACTAGCAAGAAGAATATCATCAACATATAAGACAAGAATGATGAAATGACTCTCATTTTTCTAAAAAATGATATTTATATAATTTATTATATTTTTATTTTCTATTTGTTATGGATTAACATTAATCAATAAATTAATTATTTGTAATTATCAATTATATTACACATCATTATTATTTTATGGATAATAACTTAATTTAGATTTCTAATGAACCATTCGTGATGGGTTGGATTGTTCTGAATAATTTACTTATTAAGAGATCTCTAGTTCTGCTAGTAGGTGTATAAAACTGATACCCCGTTAGTCAGTTTTCAGATGAGACAACGTAGACAACACGTTCTAAAGTAACCTATCAAAAAGAGAACAGTATCCTCTCATAGAAACTCTGGATCCTTCATTTACTCCAACTACATTTTTCTTTTACTCATAGAAAATATATTATACTTTTGTATCTTATAATTATTTATCTACTTTATCAATTAGTATCAAAGTCAAATAAGATACAAATTATAATTGTTCTTTTTTTGAAAAATCTCCTATTATAAAAATTAAGGTTTTTTCTTTTTTTCGAACCCTAGCTCTGCAATCTTTTTACCCTATTTCCGAATCAAACCCTTATCAATCTTTGTAACAATGATAAAAAAAATTAGTATCAGAACCAAATTCACAAGTTCAATTCTTGACAAACAATTATTAAGAGAGATTGTTACGAATTGTGGGCAAAGGTCAGTGAATCACAATCCAAAAATGAGATTCTTTATAAAACAATTACGAGAGAAATTGTTACAAATAACATCAATTATCCCATGACAGAAACTAAATGAGACAGACCACAATCAAATCATGACACTTGAATTTTTACTCTTAATTAAAAAAAATTACATACTAACTAACAAATATAATTTTTAACCTTGTGCGTTAAAGTAACCAAAGTAATCAACGCTCCATCCTTGTGCGTTAAAGCAAGCTCATGTAATAAGACAAAAAGAAGCACGGCTTATAGTACTGGATAAAAAGTGAAACTAAAAACCTTTTCTTTCTCAACGATTAGTTCTGAATAACATCTAGAGTGCCCATTAGTCATTACAATTCACTACTAATATATACGACCACAGAATAGAGTTATAATCACTAATGAAAATTAAGATCGTCATATTCTCATTTTTTGTTGGAGTTTTATCTCTACACAGACTTTCCCATCAACCGGAGTAAGGTAGCCTGCAAATCACAACCAGCAAATTTAGCAAAAAGACAGATTTTAAATATAAAAAAATAAAAGGATCTTTTTAAATCTTACATTTTATAAAAACAAGTATATTTCAATCTCTCAACATAAAAGCGATGTTAGGTAAAGTGAATGAAGACTGACCCCAATTTGAGGGAGGTATCTGAGCTTTCATATTCCGGAGGAGGTCCAGTAGAATTATTGCAAACGTACGTGACCGACTCTGAGGACTGACCTTCATCCATAACAAAGCTCTCAGATTCGGCACCACCATGCTTTTCACCGTTAACTACGCCCGCCACCTTTGGTGCAACACATATATACAATTCAACTTTATTCTATGTTTCATGTTAAATTAGAGACGGAAAATAAAAGAATATCATACGTGACGTTTTAGTCGCTCGTTCTCTTCCATCAATAACATCCCCTGCAGGATTTAGTTCAAGATGTTAGAGAATTTACAAAACTCGTCAAAATTAACTGAATAAAATTATTTGCAAGAATAGTGCTCATGTGGATCTTCAAATAATGATAACAAAAGGTTCAGTTTCTAACATTTCTTTGTAGATCAGCGATCTCGTTCATAATTTTCTCTCCCTGAAAAGGAAAAATTAATCAAATATATAAAATCACGAGAGAATTTATTATGGTGGTGGATACTACAGAAAATTAATGGAGTTATGTAGGGAAGACCTTCTTTTCTATTACACGACTCAATCCAGTTTCTAGGGACCTCTCCAGTTGTTGCAATTCTTCTATGTTTAAACCTTGAAGATCCTCTCCTCTCAGTTGTCTGTATTTTGTTCTCACTGTTATATCTTTAAATTTCAACAATTTAATTGATATCATGAGTAATGAAATTGTGAGGCTTGTACCTTAGTCGATGGCTCTTCTCGGCAACTTCCTTGCTCAATCTGGAACAGTTGCTGTTTTCAACTAGCTGCAATAAGCATTTCAGAAACTAATGTTTGTCATTAAAAGTTCCACTTTTTATTCTCCCAAATTGGAGGCAATTTGATGTAGAGAGAGTAACTTCAACCCCATGCTACACCTTTGATATGGTTTTATTCTAAAAGTATATATCTTGGTTTTTATTGCACAAGGATAAATTTGATTTACAACTATCCAATATCAGATATGTAGCCAGCACTTTTTCTTTTTTCTTTTTCTTTTTTAATACTTCACTCTTATTTCAGACAACAAAATTACTCATTGCATATTGTTACCGAAAAATATAAGAATTATATTAAAATTGTATACTCATTTTTTTAAAACATGTCTTACAAATATGGCATCAGAATTAAGTGGCGCAGCATGCAACATACATGAACTTAGTTTCTCATGAAAGTGTGATGAACTCTATAAATAGTAGTTCAACACGGAACGAAAATACCAACCTGCAACTCGAGAGATGGTTGTTCCATCCTTGCTAGGTTCTTTGAGTGCAAATGATGCCTTTCAAGTATCTCCTTCATGCTACAGGACATTATCAAAGTCACATCATGAACAAATTAAAACCCAAAAAAAAATAGAAGTACATATACTGTTAACATAGAATCAAGTATAAGAGAATTTTGATTTGGTTTATGTGTATCAGTTTCTTTTAAAAGGAAAAGAAGGAAACAAAAATTGAAAATCATGAAATATTCATCGAATGTGTGTAGTAACCCTAAATCATATATCAGTTTGATTTGTGTCTCCCGAATTGTAGAATTGAGTGGGTAAAAGGAAAAGAAAAGATGAGATGTATTGATTTATAGGACAGGATGCTCAAACAATTTCCAAAAAAAAAAAATCTTCTTTTCACCTACCTACAAAGTTATTAATATTCCATGTAGCTGTCAAAATAAACAGTCAAGTCACTTTGCATAAGATCAAACAAAACATGGTTGTTTTTATCTCTCGCTTATTTTTCAAATTGAACAATTTTTTCTCTAGAGAATATATATATATATATATATATATATATATATTAATATATTATTAAGAACCCAAACATCTGAAGTACACATTGTCAAACTACCTAATTCAACAAACATCATTCACCGCAAGACTCAAAGGCGTTCAATCTGGCAGATCCTCTCCCGCATAGAGCAAATCTCTTCTCTCCCCCACAATACTTCAAGGTCAGAACTGTGGAACTAGAGCAACATACTCTTTGAGTGAGCAACTATCTTGGCTGAAACTATTCCAGATCTTCGGAATACAAGTGCAACTTTTCCGCAGACAAAATCCGAATCAAAATATTCTTAACATATCTCCCCATTGATTCATTTTAATATACTGAAACTATAAATATCTTTTCACCTGTACTTCTCACTTTTCCCAGCTTTAAATATAAGTCTGGACAAACATCCAGGTCTTTTGGAAGAAGAAAAAAATATCAATAAATCAAAATTAATTTATTTTAAATTAAAAATCAAAATTATAAAAAGGCATGTAAAATAACTTTTACAAATTAATGCGTATATAAATTATTTTAATTGAGATGTTGATTATTTTCTCTTTTAAAAATCGTTATAACAAAATTTATCTAATCAGATTTAGGACATTTCCCATAGCCTCATTCATTTTTATTTTAATAATTAAATCTTTAAACAATCCATATATATAATATAATTTGCACTTAATTTTTTTTATTATAAAAATGGTAAAATATTAAACAGAAAAATAATTTTATATTGATAAACAACCCTTTCTTCTATAATGAATAAAACTTGAATACCCTCCAGGCTAGGATCAGTACTAATGACCAAAAAGAATAATGTTTACTTTAAGCAACTGCATTAAAGTTGTTCTGAACAGCACAAATAATCATTCAGAAAATGTTGGATATTTGTGTGGGAGGAAATGAAAAGGTAATAAAATTAAATAACTGATTTGTGTTGCATTTAAAACTATCATTTATGGATCATGTTTTCTCTTGCACTGAACCAACACTGCTTAACTCCTAAGTAAATTAGGTAGCCAGCATTATATATGTAAGCAAGCATAAAAAGTAAATAATGTACTTTTTGTTGTCTATCTACCATATTCTAAAACTTACAGAAGAGTAATCAAAATGAGTTGGTACATATAGAGCAGCACGCTTTCATACAAGAACAAGTTACACAACATATACCCGTATGCATGCATCAAACTTAATTATCATGTACTTTTGGAAGTCTATCTCTCATTTTCCTAACTTTAGAAGAGAATATTAATCAAAAACACAAGTTACATCATTAGTGAAGACAATTGGGTAGCAAAGTGGAAAAAAAATCAAATGTTGCTTATACGAGTAATCATCGTAATGATGAATGTCATAATCCAGGGATAAATTGGCATGTATCATTTCATAAACTTTCCATGATGTAGCATCATACTTTTCATGGCTATCATCTGGATAGTTAATGGTGGTGAATTCATTTTCCAAAAAGTTAACCACAAACATGACGAAGGGTAAACGAAGGGACGGGGAATATTATGTAATATTTAGCTGCTTTTGTCTTTCAGAAGAGAAAAAAAAAACAAATAACCAGATAGAATTGGCTCTATATATGTCCCATCATTACATTTTTATAGGTCTATATATAGTTTATAAATTTGTGCCTAGAACAAGTGATGTGATACGACAGATTCAGACTAGTTAGATGATCAGAAAAAAGCTAGGTCGGTCTTGATCTTTACGAGACTGTGATACAGTGACTCATTCTTTGATTATGTGCTTTTGCAGACTATCCGTTGTGTTATATAGATAGCTAGTTTTCATATTAGTATCCTAACACCACTACAAGTTCAAACTATATATCAAGCAAATTAATGCGTCAAAGAACATAACAGGATAATGACTTTGAAATAAGAAGAAACAGGTATGCAATCCTATATTAGCTCAAAAAGGTGACAAAAAGCGTAACAGTTAGACACATCCATACTTCCCACCACCAAGCATTTTATCTTCTTTTTTTAGTTTTTTACACAACAAGCATTAAATCTAATCAATGTGTCTCTCTATAAACAACTTGTGTTCTTTAAAAAAAAAAAAAAAACTTGTCTATGACACAGCAAACGTTGGTTTGGTTTTATCTATGCAACGTACATTGTAATCTGGAAAAACTTCGAAACAATGTGACAAATGTTGTTTTCTAATCAGAAGTAAACATTAATCTCAGTAATTTACCAAATAAAATATTTCATTAAATACCGTTATTTAAAGCGAAATTTTGAACTGAACAACATATAAAATCTAAAGTACTGTTATAAGTTTTGTCATTATCATCATTTTCTTTCCTCATCACATATTCATTGTCAAAGTATTATTCACACCGCGTGTAACAAAGAAAAGTTAAGAAAAATGCAAACAATACTTAATGTATTAGTTAAAACTATAGTGATCGGTACAATCAAATGTTTTTTTACATCTAAAACTCTCTCAAGAACCCCAGATGAAACTAGAAACCAGTAGAATAAGAAAGCAAAGGAGGAATAGTAACAGAAACAGACAATAAATGTGGAGTTGGTAACGGATCTTTAAGCAAAACACACAGAAATGTCTAAGAAGCAATTAAACAACACATTACGAACATGAAGGCGGCTGAACAACTATATCAGATGTCAGAACTCTCATAACTCAACTTTCAAACATTATCATGTTCTTCCTTGTTTTCAATTAACTAGATAAAAAATGAAAACTAATCATCTATACCAACAGAACCAACTTAAAAGCATATATTCACCATGCTTGGTACGCAACAATGACTTCATGTAGCTAAGTTTTCTTAATAACTCTCATTACAGATATAGATCTTATCTTAAGAGCCCAATAAAAATAATAATAATAATAATAATAAGCACTGAAACCCCATGAACTCGTTTCAGACATAAACAGTGAGAAAGGAAGAAAGAGAAGCTAAAGAGAAGAAAGACCTTGAGTTTGAGTACTCGAAGAGTTTCCCAGTAGAAGAGAAAATTATGAGGGCAACATCAGCATCACAGAGAACCGAAAGCTCCTCAGCTTTCTTGAAGAGCCCTCTGCGACGCTTGGAGAAAGTAACCTGCCTCGCGGTAGCGTTGTCGATCTTCCTAATCTGAATCTTCTCCCTCGCCATATATACCCTTCACCTTAATCTATCCTCATTTGGATAAACAAGAAAAACAGAAAAAGAAAGCAAACAACTTTAGCCTCTTAAATTACCCGGATGAGCGAGCTACATCATATCAGTGATACGCAGAAAGAACCAACATACAATCGAAGAAACCCACCTAAAAACCAAGGGAAGGCTTGAGTCGTTGACTATTTATGCAGTGTCTTGTGAAAAGCAAAAGCAAAAGGGTATTGTTTTGTTTAGTGTGAGAGGGACATGTGATGATGCACAGCAGAGAAATTAATATGCAGGTGTTTAACTAAATTTAGCTTTTGTGAAATCAAAGCTTCGTAGCAGATCGTGGGAGATGGTACCACCAGGGCAGATTTAGCCTTTTTTTTTTTTTGTGGAGTGATGTTGGTGTTGGTGATGGATGGATAAGTTGGTGTTGGTGTGTGGTGGGGTGTTGTTGTTGAGAGAGAGTTTAGCTGAGTAAGGAATTTGTCGCTGGATGTACTTGTGGATGTTACTTTCCTTATCGGGGGGGGGAAGGCGTTGATATCAGGAATGTTGGTTTTGGTGTTGTTTGGTTTGGCTGGTTAGATGGTTCCAGCTTTGAGATGAAAGCCACCAATGAGAGGAAGAGAGAGAAAGAGAGTGCAGAGGGCGTGTGGAAGTGTGGAAAAGGTATTCCCTTTTATGGCGAAACACTGTTCCCTGCTCATCTCCCGAAGGTTAGAAGGGTGTCCTCTTTGATTAATTAGTGTATGATAAATTAATGGAATGAAGTGAGGGTTCCTTTTAACATATTTTTTTTGTTATTAAATCGAATTTTCTATAATGAAAACAAAGTGCCTGATTTAAATTCTATGGAGAGAAAAATCCCACCGGAAAATATATATTTCCGTCTGGTCTACTTTTTAGATAATTATTTATTTATTTATTATATGTAAAATTCAATATCACGTTAATTATTTATTATATTTTATTTATTTTCTAATCTTTACAAAATTTATACATGTATCCATTATATAAAATAAAAAGATAAAGGGGTAAAATAGGTATAACAATTTTATTATAATAAAAAAGTATTCTGTAGGAAAAGTGTACGACACTTGTACATTTTAAGTAATATATATATATATATATATATATATATATATATATATATTACTTTTAAATTTCATCCTCCATTTTAGGAATTATATGTTCTTATTAATGTGGGATTTAGTTTCTATATTTATAAATCAAATTATATTTTAATCATAAAACATATACGACATGTGAAATGAAAGATATTTGGTGATGAGTGCACCAAGTTTTTCAAAGTAATTTATGAATATTTAAACTTCTTTATTTTCAATAGACTTGTGCGATATTTAGTGATAAATGTTTATTTTATCAACTAACACTCAACGCAAATCACTCACGTGAACAAGATACTAAAACTATTTCTCAAAAAAATTGTCAACGAAATAAAGTAAAATAAAATCTTTGGGGAGTTTTCACACAAACATTATGTGGGCATACGTGAATTTGGTGAAGAACAATGGTGCCAACAATGTCAGAATTGAATTTTATAAGTACTTCTTCTACACGTGAAATTGATCTTTTCGATCAAAACTTTAACTTAACATACATTCAATGAACTAGACTTGAGAAACCACTATAACTACTTGCGTTTAAGTTCTACTACATTCAATCTCAGGAATTATGGACTTAGCTAACCATTCAATTATAATAAAATTATCGATTGCTTATAAAAAAGTTTTTTTTTAATATTATAATAATATGACATTGTTTCTAATCTTGTCACCACCAAAATTACTACTTAAAAAAAAATACACCTCACATTTTTTAGGATATTTTTTTAAAAATATCTTTTAAGTGCTAATTTTAGTTTTGAATAAATTTAAATGTCTTATATTTTGAGAGTGAGATTTTTTTTTCGCTCCAAGGTGAACGTGAATGTTCTGTATAAAAATGAGAGTATCCCGACATAATATCGATCAATGAGTTAAGAGATGAGGGTATAAATAAATTATCTTTGGTCTCAACTCCTAAGTGATGTGAAACTCATAAGTGTACCGGAACATAAATGTTCTTGCCAAATTGGTGGAGGTTAGCAAGAGGATATGATGAAATCGATAGATTGTGTTCCGAGCTTCGACTTTGTCTTCGAGGATATTGAATGACTTTCTTTAGAAATATTAGAGACTCACTTGCAAAAGACACCTTAAGCCAGTTTTTAAATAAAAGAGTGATGTATTTGAGAATAAGTAATAAAGTGATATTTACTCCCTAACTGGATCCCCTTACTCAGAAGATAATAATAACCAAAAATATAATAACTGATAGTCCAACAGATAATAATTCATAGCTCAAAAAATAATAACTAATATAAGATATTCTAACAAATAAAAGATAATTAAATAAATAAAGTAATTTTAATGAATTTTGGTTGGGTAGGTACACAATTCCCCAATTTCGGAGACTGAATTCCTTTAGAAATAGAGGCAAAACGAATTTAAAGTTAAGTTGATCATTTTATCGAATAATGTTCAATTTAAACGTGTTTATTTACTCAGTAAATAAGTTGATAAAATAACATGTTATTATTTTTACTGAGTAGATTTTATGAATAATAACATATTTATTTGTTATGCAAAAATATTTGATAACTCATGTGACCTCAAGTAAGAAAAATGTAAGTTTTGATAACTAGTATACTTGAGTAAGTTATGCATAACTTGTGTGACCTCGAGTAAGGGATATATAACTCATTTAACTTCGAGTAAGGTAGATATGTAGGTGTTGATAACTTATATATTTGAGTAAGGTATGTATTATTTGTATGACCTCGAGTAAGGTAGATGAAAGTTTTTATAACTCATATATTTGAGTTGAGTATATATTACTTGTGTAATCCCAAGTAAGGTAAATGCAAGTTTTTTTAACTTATATATGTGAACAAGTTATATATAACTCATGTAACCCCGAGTAAGGTAATAATTTTATATTTGTGCAACCCTAAGTAAGATAATAGTTTTATACTTGTGTAACACCGAGTAGGATAATAGTTTTACACTCGTACAATATCAAGTAGGATAATAGTTTTATACTAGTGTGATGTCAAGTAGGATAATATTTTGATAGTCGTATGATCCGAATAGGTAATGTTTTAATACAATCATTCTATTATTTGTATTTTTTAAAATAATTAATTTTTATCCTTGTTAAAAAAATTATAAAGAACGATGAAATTCACTATTGTAAACAATATAAAATTTGTTAGATTCACTTAAAGTCTCTTAATTTTAAAATATATAATAATGTAACCCTTTCATAAATGAACACTATATAATAAGTATAAATTGTATCATACATAAATTAAAATCGGTAATACTTGTTTGTTAATAAATTTATAACTAATTGGATTAAAAGCGATGATAATATTGTATCTTTAAAACTAATAGACTCAATTAAAATATATAAAATGAATAAATAATGAAATTGAAAATATAAGTAAGTCAAAACTTAAATTTTAAAGAACTGAAATTAATTTAAACGAAAACTTAAAGGATTCATTCTGTTTTATATATTTTAGAATAAACAAATAAGAATGAAATATAAATGGAAATGTTTTATTGTGTATATTGAGGAGAACAGTGAGGTTGACGAGGACTAAGACAAATCATGCACAATATTACGAAACTTTAAGACGGGAAAAATGGCTTTTCCCTACATGAAAGACTCTTTAGCCATAGTTGTTGAATAGGAATAGCAGTAGCAATAGGGTCATCTTGGGTGACACGAAAGACAAGTGGGCAAGTTAACAACTATCAACAATGGCCCCACCACTATTCTTTTCTATTCTCTCTGCATTTTCCTTCAAAACATTTAGGGCATCTCCATCACTCGTCAGATCTGATAGACCTAACATTAATGGATGTAATCATTTTTAAATATTAACCCATGTTTCTAAGGATGTATTTTAGAATAAGAATAAGTGAAAAAAATGTGCCAATTAGGGAAAATAATGGAAAATGGTGGACTACATTGATTTTTTTTTCTTAAAAAACTATTTAAATATATACAGTTATTTTTTTATATTCTTTTATTTTTACTAACTAAACATAATTAAATTATTTTAAAAATATAATAATTATTTTTATCAAATCATATCAAGAGAAAAATTTAAAAAATATTAAAAAAATGTAAAATAATAATTATGATAAATAAAAAAATAAAGAGAAAAATCACTATAATATGCATCTTATCTTAAAAAATACGTAATAACAAAGTGGTGAGAGACATGATATATTTATATCATTATAAAAAAGACTTTTTTATTTTTTTAATATCTTTTTTTGATAAATTATTTATTTTATATTTATTTTATATATTCTTTCAATCCATTATATATATATATATATATATATATATATATATATATATTTAAAAATTCTCTAATATAAATAAAATAAATTCAAAATTATCTTATTCCTTTCACTTCTCAAATCACGTGTTTCCTTCATTTCTTACTCAAATTTAAATTAATAAAAATAAATAAATAATGTCATCTTTTTTTTTCAAACGTTATAAACACTATGCATCTACATTTATAATTATTATTGTTGATATATTTTTTTGTTATTTTAATATTTTGTTATTATTTTTATTATTGTCATTAAAATTTATTGTCACATCTTATTATCCGTACTTTTTTTATCACATTACTTGTTTAAAAATAAAAAAATTATGGGATGGTTGGAACATAAATGAGCGACTATAACTAATTCGAGTATTTAGAGTTAAGAAGGTGTGATTAAATATATAGATATATTTACAAATATATTATATTGTAAATTTTGATTATATAAAAATAAATATTTAATTAAATGAATGATCAAAATATAGAAAGGAAAATTTGTTAGTAAAAGGGATATATAATTATATTTTTACCAAAGAAGTGTGCAATTATTAATTTTTTTTAATGAAAAGATAAAATAACTCAGTAAACA